AGGGTGCACAGAGTCAGGCGAGACAGCGCCCCAGCAGCGTCCACATCCTCCACCCCAGCTCTCCGCAGGAGGACGGCACCCACGCGCTCTCTCCTCAGGACGGAGTGCGAGGCCACAATCACCTCACCTTGGCCGACATGTCGGTCCCGCAGCCAAGCCCACGAGTCTCAGGACACGAGCTGGAAACGCCACCTCTCCTGGCCGAGAGGACTTGATGCTCATCCCTGCTCGTGAGAAGGGGCGCATCTCCTCCTGGCCTGTCTCAGGGTGTATTTTCTGTTTCTCGGGATGTTCCACATCATCTTGCACACATCCACGTTTTTACAGATTTGTTTCATGAATCTACACATATTTATTATTAGTGTTCTTCAAAATGATGATATCACAAGTCAGATTAATTTATAACTAGGAATTTGATAAGGTAACTCTAGCTCAATTATTTGGTTTTCCAAAATACTCGTTCAACAAATATTATGTCTCCTTTTAGGATGTCATCTGGGAACAGAGTATGTGACCAAGGATAACAGGACAGGCCCAACGACACAGGCGCATTTTAAGCATCTGTTATTTTGGTAACACCCCTGGTCCAAAGTGAATGATATGGCCAAGTCTGAAGTCATGGAGCAGAGACGATCACTTCAGCCACACTAGTGCTATGGTACGAGGCATCTGTTCCTCAGGATGTAAAATCAGGCAGGCTCATTCACTCAAATGATCACATCCAGGTAGTCTGGAAATGACAGGGCACCATATTTATTACAGTTTTTTATAAACATGATTTTTATGATTCTTTAAGCATCTTCAGTTTAACTACAGTCAACTTTGCCTTAAGTAATACGTGTCTTCTTTAAAGCCGTTTTTATGCATCGTCTTTTGCAGTGTAGCAAATCATCCCAAAGTAAACTAAACACAGCTTACTATTTGGCGACCAGTTTTAGATGAGCAGGTGGTTTTCCTAATGACCTCATTCTCATCTAAAACTCATTCTGGTTAGTTTAACGGCAGGACCGAAAATATCTGAGTTATCCCAAGTTCTCTTCTAATCTACATAATAGTACTAGTGATTGACAGACGGTCTGAACAGTATTTCCAAGACCCAGGAATATCCCACAGCGCCATCCTCCTCGGTCTCTTATGGGTACACTCCCTTTCACCCAGGGGATGAACTTAGGGGTGGGGGCGACCAAGGGAGACGGCACAGACCTGCAAGGAGCACACACCTCTTGTCCCCACATCCGAAGGATAAGCGCCCCACACAACAATGGACCCATAGCCTCCCTGGTCCGTAAGTCTCAGACCGTGAAGCTGTCCAAGCCACTGCAGCAAGAGCTCCATCCGTAGCCAGGCAGCTGACCCACAGGGCGCAGCAGACCTCTCCTGTCTACCCGCGGCTCCCCTCGGCAGTGGATTTCAGTGGATCCACGTGTTCTGCTCCCCACTCTGTCTCTGGGGAGTCCTCCCCCGCCCCAGTCCACTCCCTGTCCCTGGAGCTCAGGGCTCCTGTAGTGTCCTCACCGCTGGAGTGTGGACAGTGTCTCTGGGCTGTGCTGATCCTGCGCGTCCTGACCCCAGGATGCGGCTGAGCTGGGCAAGGTCCCCACGGAGCACGGGGGAGGCCTCTCCTGGGCCTCCGCCGACAGCATCACCACCCACCTGGGCCGCCCACCCATCCGCAGAGGCCTCACCCGCCACACCCCTGGATGCCCCAACACACCTGCAGGGGGACGTGACACGAGTCCCCTGAACCCCTCACCTTCAGAGCAGAGAGTGACCCTTGCTGCAACAGCACACATGGGTCACGTCACAGCAACAGACACTTCCAGGGAACGTGGCACGAGCAGAGGAGCGTTGTCTTAGCAAACCCTGCAGGCCTCTTTGGACCAGGTCTGAGGTGAAGGCTGAGGGGCCGGATGCCATCTTTAATGGGCGCTCGAGGACACCAGGAGCCTGCAGCATCGTGGAAAGCGGCCTGCGGCCTGGGGGTGAAAACCTCAGCGACCTCCCACGGCGCGTTGAGGACTATAGCCCCTGGTCCCGACACTCCAGGTGGAGTTTGAAGGGACCAATGTACGTCCCCCTGCATCACGGAGGATGCTCTCAGGGCACAGACACCCCGTCAGTCACCAACCTGGAAACACAGGACGGGGGATCTGGCTGTAGAGATGTTCCTGACGGAGGAAGCTGCGTAGAGGGCGTGGGCAGGGAGGAGCGGGAGCCCAAGTCCCAAATCCACGATCAGAGAAACAATCCCCGACGGATGGGCCCCAAGCCCAGCCCCGCGGAGAGGACCCCGCGGAGAGGACGCCGCGGAGACGACACAGGGCACGACTGCAAACCCACAGACCAAGGCTCGGCGAGGACATGCAGGCGAGTAACGGGGGCAAACTCTGCGGGCCTCGGAGCCTCGGGAGAGCCCTCAGGCCGAGCCCTTCAGCAAGAGACACGCGGCAGAGACCCCCACGACCAGCCCCCGCTCCCTGCCCGCCACAGCCGTGGGAGCCCCGGCTTCTTGGCCCCAGCGGCCACCCCTCGGGACCGTTCAGCTCAGGGAGCTTTCTTGTCCTTACTCCTGTGAGTAAATCTCTGGCTCTTCTGGAAGTCTGGGCTCCACTTGGAAGTACTTTCGCACCAAAGACAAGAAACGAAGAAGAGCGCACCCGAGGCCTCAGACTCCGGGCCTGCTACACAAACACCCCACTCGGCATCACCACGGCACCAAAGAAACACACCAGAAGGTGCCCGGGGCCCCGGGGGGGTGGGGGGGGTAGCCAGAGTGACATCAAGGACTTTGCAGCCACCACCTTCCACGCCGACCACTCACCCCAAGGTATGAACTGACTCAAACAAAGACCACATTCAGGACACGGCCAGGAACCTGTGGCCTCAGAACACATTTCCAAGGCATGATTTTACTTGATATAAACCCTGGACTCTCGGGGGGCTCACACATCCTCGCCAGGGGATACAAAGGGTCTTCAAGTGGGAAGAGGCTGGATTTGGGGAAGTGGTTCTGCTCCAAAATACGAGTGTGGTTTGAATTCAAGGCAGTGGTTTATGAAGGATCACAACCCCATGCGGTTTCTAAATGGATGAAAGTCCACCTCATAGAAAAGGGTTAGAAACAGGGCCTCCCCGGTGGTGCAGCAGTTGAGCGCTGGGCTGCGAGGCTGCCAGCAGCCTGTGCAGAGCCGGTTCGATCCCGGCCACAGGCGAGGGTCCCACATGGCGAAGCAGACCTCTCCTGTCTCGCCTGCCTCTCCCCTCAGCAGTGTATTTTGTCAGTCTGCCTGTTCTGTTCCCTGCTCTGGTGAATCCTCTCACCCTCCCACATTTCTGACTGTAACCTGTGCTTGTATAAATAAATAATCTTTAAAAAAGCATATTAAAAAGAAAAACATCCAAAAAAGCATTTGGAAAAAAAAAGAAATAAAAGGGTTAGAAACAGTTGCAGCGCCATGACGTTCCTGGCAGAAAGAAAGACGAAGACCCCGCAGTTGACCTGGAGCAGCGCAGGCGCTGGGGGCACTGACCTCCTGGCTGAAGCAGCTTAAAAGTCCACATGTATGTTCTGACTGCAAACCGTTACCTTAAAGAGCAGTGGACTAACTGCTATCTTGTGCGACACCTGCGTTAAACACTGTCTTATATTGTTAGGGAAACTGTCAGCTGAGTGATGAGGAAAATAGGCTGACAGCACTGTGTTGTATTTATCAGCCCCATAAACCTACACCGGCTGAAGCACAGGTAGGAGCCACATCTATCACTTTCTCACGTGGACACAACGTTGCATTTAGCAGGAAGTGCAAGGGTTTTGGGCACTTCCCGTCACAGTCACAGCCGCTGCTTCACAACAGTTTCCTTGACATTAGTCCTTAAGCAAGAATCCTTTACAGCAAAGAACATGCAATGGAACAAGGACAGTCTCTTCAGGAAATGTTGCTGGGAAAACTGGACAGCTACACACAAAAGAAAAAAACTAGGATATCTCACGTCACATTCAAAAAGCAACTCAAAATGGATAAAGAACTTGAATACCTGAAACCATAGAACACTTAGGAAAAAACAAGCAAAACACTCCCAACAGTCACCTCAGAAACATCGTGAGTTCTCATGTCACATGCAAACAAAACGGAGAAGATAAACAGCTTGGACTCCAAGAACTAAAAATCTTCGTACAGCAAGAGAGACAATAACCAAGACAAAGGGACACCGCAGGTTGGGAGTGGAGCTTTGCACTCCAGACAAGTGATGAGGGACTGATTTCAAAGATGTGCAAACAGCTCACAAGACTCAACAAACACAGTAGACCTCTCCTGTCTCCCCACTGGCCTCCTCAGCAGTGGATTTCAGTAGATCCACCGGTTGTGCTCCCCACTGTCTGTGGAGAATCCTCTCACCCCCTCATATTCTGGCTTGCACCCCAGTTCTTGTATGCAGAAGTAATCTTCCAAAAAATTTCCCTTATTTTGTAGAACTGGGGTGCAGGCCAGAGGTTCGGGCGTGAGAGGATTCACCAGATACTGAGTGTGGTGACAAACAGGCAGAACCACCGAAATACCTGGCTAACGGGAGCAGCGGGTGACACAGGAGAGGCCTGCTGTGGCCATATGTGGGGCGGCTCTGTAGTCGGGGCTCAAACTCCAACCAGAGGGGCGATAGCGCTGAGACTTAACCCCGAGGCCACCAGGGAGGCCCCAAGAAACCTTCATCATGAAAGGCAGGTAAAGAAAGCTGCAGACCTCAACCTACAGCCAACAGCACACAGTTCAACTTTTCCTTCTAGAGGAGGACATTTTGGAGGTGAGCAATTCCAGCATTGGGGGGCACCACAGAGGCTTAGAATACTGGACAGAACGTGACGGCTAAGTTAGAAAACCCAGAGAGATCACTTACCCACGCAACATGCAGTGTGCCCTGTAGACAGCTACTGTGGACAGGAATAGCATCGCCCAGGAACTTCAACTGCTCTCAGCTGAATGATGTGGTTTGAGTGCCTAAGTTTGAATATATTTTTTTTAATAGAGGCATGTTATTTATTTGTTTGTTTGTTTTATTTATACAAGCACTGGGTATACAGTCAGAAGTGCGGGAGGGTGAGAGAATTCACCAGAGCCAGAGTGGAGAGCAGAGCAGGCAGAAGGACCGAAGTACACTGCTGAGGGGAGCAGCGGGCGGCAGGAGAGGTCTGTGCGCCATGTGGGACCCTCCTCCGGTGGCTGGGGAGCAGCCGGGGATCGAACCGGGGCCGCAGAGGCTGCGGGCAGCTTTGCAACTCAGCGCTCAACCGCTGCGCCACTGGGGAGGGCCAAGTTTGAATATTTTTAAAAAGATTTTTATTTATTCAAGCATACCAGAACCAGGGTACAGGCCAGATGTGTGGGAGGGTGAGAGGATGCACCAGAGACAGACGGGGAACAGAACAGGCAGACTGACCGAAATACTCTGCTGAAATACACGCAGCGGGCGATACAGGAGAGGTCTGCCGCACCATGGGGATGCTCCTGGCCGGCCAGGGAATCAAACTCGCATTGCAAAGGCCACGGACAGCTTCACAGCGCTGCGCACAACCACCTGCGCCACCAGGGGAGGCCTGCCTGTCCACTCTTGACAGTCATAGCATTTCCATCCAGTGTGGATTCTGTCATGCCTAGTGAGGGCTGACTTCCTGAAAAGTTTTCCCACATTCTTCACAATCATAGGGACTTTCTCCAGTGACTTCTCTGATGTCTAGTGAGAGCATGCTTACTGGAAAAAGTTTTCCCACACTCTTGACACTCATAAGGCTTCTCTCCAGTGTGACTTCTGTGATGGTGACTGAGGGATGATTTCTGGCGGAAAGTCTTCCCACACTCTTCACAATCATAGGGTTTCTCGCCTGTGTGACTTCTCTGATGGACAGTGAGGGATGATCTCCAGGGGAAAGTCTTCCTACACTTTTGACATTCATAAGGTTTCTCTCCAGTGTGACTTCTCTGATGGTCACTGAGGGATGACTTAGTGGAAAAAGCTTTCCCACACTCTTCACAATCATAGGGTTTCTCTCCAGTGTGACTTCTCTGATGGTGACTGAGGGATGATCTCCAGTGGAAAGTCTTCCTACACTCTTGACATTCATAAGGTCCTTCTGCAGTGTGACTTCTCTGATGGCGACTAAGGGATGACTTACTGAAATACGCTTTCCCACACTCTTCACACACGCAGGGTTTCTCTCCAGTGTGCGTCCGCTGATGTAGAACAAGAACTGACTTACGGGAGAACATTTTCCTGCACGCTTGACATTCATAGGGTTTCTCTCCAGTGTGAGTCATCTCATGTCGAACAAGAACTGACTTACGGGAGAACACTTTCCTGCATGCTTGACATTCATAGGGTTTCTTCCTTCTATGAGTTCTCTGATGGACACTAAAAGCAGATTTCTGCCTGAAAGTTTTGTTACATACCAGACACAGGTAGCGCTTCACTCCTGTTTGAGATTGTGGATGTACAGTGAGGGCAGTCTTACATGAGAAAGTTTTCATGTAATCGTTAGAGCCAAACAACTTCACTGCAGTGAGATTTCTCTGGTGTCCCCTCTGTAAGGAAATTTCAGAGGTGCCCCCACACTCATCAGGTTGATCGTCTGCTTTTGTTTTCTGATGTTCAGTCAGAACAGAGGTTTTAGAGGCCGCTTCACCATATCTCTTATATCCAAAATTATTCTGTCCTAACTGGGTACTCTCATGCGGATAGGTGTGAGATGTGTTCCTGAGACTGGCCCCACTTTCATAACATTCCTGCTGCGCATCTTCAGCATATCTAGGAGGATTCAAATAAACTGGAGTCATCTTTGCAGCTCTCCCCTTTTCAGTACAACTACAGGGAGTCTGTCCCCTTTGGGTTCTGTCTCGGACATCGAAAGGTGCCTCATCACGGGTGTCCCTGCACTCATTGCATTTACGGGCAGCCCCTTCCGGGAGGGATCCTCTAGGTGTAAATACTGTTTCTTCACTCAAGACTTTTCCTTGTTCATGAAATTCAAAGGGCTCTTGAAAGTTCTGAATCACCTGGTGACTAAGGTGCTCAGGATACTTGATGGGTTCCCTCATTCTACTAAAGATCTCTTTGTTCTCTCCAGCATGCTCTTCATGAGGCTCACCAGGGAAAATCATGGTCCCATGTATAGCAAAGTTCTCAGGCATCATCGCTGAATTGTTTCCATTTTTGATACTATGGTTTAAACAACAAATTGACTCCAAAATGCTTTTTCCCCATAAGTCAGTTCTCTCCTTGGATGGTATTTTGCTACTGGCGGTAATAATCTGCCACACATGTCTGCCCTGATTTGCAGGGCTGCCCTGAGTCAAGTAATCCATAGTATGGACATCTAAAATGAGATAAAAATGACCATGTCTATAAAAAGCAAGCATTTTGAGTGAATACTTAACTCCCAAGCGGCACAAAAGCTTCTATATTACAACACAATTTACAGGTATTGATTTTCTGATTCATGCTTTTTGCCCGTAGCAAATTATGGGAGAACAGAATTTTTTGTCTTTTGTATTTTGGCATAGAAGAACTGGGGTGTAGGCCAGAGGTGCAGGAGTGGGGGTGTTGTGGGGGAGCGTGGAGACAGTGTGTGGAACAGAACAGGTGGATTGACTGAAATACACTGCTGAAGGGAGCAGAGGGTGAGACAGGAGAGGTCTGCTGTGCCAAAGTGGGTAGCTCCTTGACTGTGGATCAAACTCAGGCCATAGGAGTGAGAGCTCAGAGACTTAACTCCTAGGCCGCCAGGGGGGCCCCAATTAACAGATTGTCTAATGCCAAGCCAGGATGATAAGGAAGCAGTAAAACTTATACTGCTTTTATAAAATCATAAATATTTGGTAAAAATAGTCATTTAACTATACTTGTCGATTTCAAGCAGGAATACTTAAAACAACACAGAGCATATATCCTTTCTTTCTTAGACTGACCCTGTGTAACTCTTGATGGTACTTTCTGAATAATCAAGCCCTGCAGATGTCATCGTTTTCCTGGAAAACCTATGGATTGAGAGTGATACAGGGTCATTTCCCAGTCACTTTAAGAAAAAGCCCTGCCGAGACACAAGGATGCTGCACGTCCATTTCCTTAGATGTTATTTCTCCTCCGGCCCTGGCCACAGTCACCTGGAGAGGTTCTCAGAGACAAGCACTTTCCTCTCTGTCAGGAGAGACCTCGCTGTCAGTTCTTATTTGAATATCGTATCACATAAGGCTCAGAATCCTAACACATGCAGCAAACTCCACCTCATCATTGTGTCCCATGTCCCCTGCTGAGCGATAGGAAAAAAGTTCTGATTCCAGCCTGTGGCGTCATCATTAAAGACTTTTCCCACATCTTCTGATACCAGCACCCTTGGTGTTCTCACCACAGTCCTTGCTACCTGTGTTTATAGCAGCTCCAGTTTTTATGTCGTGTGTCACTCTTAGCTACATCACACTGTCATTGATTCCTTTACTTTCCTCCCGACGATTCCCACGAGAAGGTGAAATCGCACAGGTGACACTGTTCCCCGAGGTATTAGCCCCCAACCTGAAACTCTTGGTGCCATGGCTTTAGAAACCACCACCTCAGGTTCCCCCTCCCTTGTCACAGAACATCCCATCCCACGCTGAACAATTTCTGGGTCCTCCTCAGCCTCACAATGACTATGTGGGCAGTCACAAGGCTTGCCTCTGAAACACTTCTCATGTTCTAAACAACCCTCCAGCCAAGCCCCCTCTATCCGTTTTGAGCTAGTCACCTAATAAGTGACATCTCCAATAGCAATACACAGCCTCTAGCCCAGAACACAGAGGGAACTACATATGTGACATGTCAGTGCAAGCCATTCACCTCACCTGAGCTCTGAAAGAAAAGAATTAATCTCTATAATGATGTGTTTGGAGCACACACACAAAAACAACATCCTCCACTTTTTGCACTCATCCTGGTCTAACATCCTCTGTGGCTTTACCTATTTAATAAATGTATTTACTATATTTTCTTTACTCACAGACTATATTACTTCAGAAAGCAAAGACCATTTCTGTGAGTACTGTTGCTCCCCCCTCTCATAGAAAACTTACCACTGGCTAAACTTCCCATGAACACACAGAAAGAATAAAAAAATTCCTGAACAGGTACCTAAACAAAACAGTGTGAGAATACACTAAGAGAGAGAACACAGAAATGTGATTACTGCAGAACAGTATCAGGGACTGCATACTGGTTTAAGAACATAGACAACCATTAAAAGAGCAGGAGAAAATCTACAAGAGAGCAATATTTGGGAACTGAATGAAGAATCAGTGTGATACAGACAGACACACTGTCCAAGGTTGGACATTGGAAAGAGTGTGGCCAATATCACTGGCCACACTCCCAGTCAGTTCCTCTCAGCCTCCCGGCCTGGCAAGCACTGACTGACCTGAGAGGTCCCGGTTTGGGGGATCGTCCACAGACCACGGTTGTAATCCCTGCCCCGACTTGATGCTCGCCTCAGGATCGGTAACACAATGCCCTGTGATGAGAAACAGTGTTGGTCATCGATCAAGTTCAACTTCAATCTTTGAAAACTAACAAATGCAGTGATAAGAGCTATGCAAAAGAGGCCAATCTGAAACTTTCCTAAAAAAACAAAAACCGAAAACACCCACAATGTACACTGCCTGCCATGTTCAACCTCACCTGCACTCAATTATATAAACAAGTGCACACTTATCGGTGCAGAAGACAGCATTACACTCGAGTGTTACACTGGCGCTTCCTCACCTAGGGACAGCAGGTGACTGTAGGTCTCCAGCATCACATCCCAGTACAGGGTCCTCTGAGCTTCACTCAGGTACCACCACTCCTGCCACGTGAAGTTCACAGCCACGTCTTCAAATGACACCGTCCCCTCTGAGGAAACATTTCTCATCTCAGGGCGGGCAGCCTGGGTCAGACAGAGCAAGTGCAAACACACCTTATTTTGTGGGTCTTTGGTCCTATATAGGATGTACAGAATTCTCAGTTGAAAGAGCCTCGCCTCTACATTCACCCGTTCGGTCCTAAAAGTAGAGCTATAGCTTACCTTATCAATTTGGAAGTGTCTATGATTCTAAGAATAAAGGATGAATAAAATTTGCTCCTTGAGGAGCTGACAGCCTGGTTGGCATGTGTAACAGACACACACCCGGAATCATGTGCTAAAGGAGCTTCATAACAAATGAAAAGCATGTGCAACTTTGTGCCAATGTTTTACTCCTGTGACCTCAAAGCCTGGGATCTCCAACTCACAGTAAACAAAAACTGAACCCGAAACCAGAATGTTCAAGCAATGAGGGGGGAAAAAGCACAGTTGAGAGATGTTCAATTACAAGCAACTATAAACCAGAGACACACTATGGAGGAGTGGGGAGAGGTGGAGGGAGGAGCGATTAGGGTCAAAATAAGGGGGGGTGGGATGTATGGGGACGATAACCAAGATGAAAATGCATACATTGTGCAAAAATGAAAAATGATGTAAAATATATATAAAATAAAATTTTAAGAAAAGATGTTCAGCTGACAGAGTCAGAGAAGACAGAACAGGTCATCACTTCTCAAATGGAAGGACAAAGGGAATGAGAACTCGGCAATAACTTGGTGGCGGAGGTACAAGGAATGTTTTCCTAATATGCTGTCCGCATGACAGGCTGGAAGACACTGGTATTCCACACACAACTGGACATTTGTGTGACAGATCAGGAACTCTAAGCTGAGAACAGAAATTTGGGAATCAGGGCCTCCCTGGTGGCACAAGAGTTTAAGTCTCAGCACTATGAAGCTATCCACAGCCCCTGCAGCATGAGTTCAATCCCAGGCCAGGGAGCTACTCACATGGCGCAGCAGACCTCTCCTGTCTCGTCCGCTGCTCCCCTCAGCAGTGTATTACAGCAGATCTGCCTGTTCTACTCCTGACTCTGACTCTGGTGAATCCTCTCACCTCCTGCACCTGTGGCCTACACCCGAGCGTTTATATGCATAAATAAAATAAATCTTAAAGAAAAAAAAGAATTTGGGAATCTCCAATATATTTCTGATAGTTTTCATCATCATATGGGAGAAGACAGTGACCAGAACAAAAGGTATCGAAAGAAGAGGAAAAACAACTAGAAGAGATAAATACGTCTTTTGGAGAAAGAAAAAAATAGATCACAGCAATGAAAGAGTTTTGAAAAATAAGATACTCGGTATAAGAAAACAAACATCTTAAGAAATCTGTAAATTTATTCTATTATCTCATTTCCTGTGTAGTAAATCCTATGTACCTCCACATACATATTGAATAGGAACCCATTAAAATAAATTTCTATTTGTATTAGCTAAAAAAGGATTCAGAGGATTTTTCCTCAACACAAAACAAGTCGTTGACACAGCCACAGGCGACATCAACATTCCCAGTGAGAGAAGGACTAACAAAGATGCTCAGTGTCCCCTTATTCACAATGGATTCGGGTGACCCTATACAACAACAACAACAAAGAGACAACATACATAAAAATGGTCATAACTAGTTATAATTCATTCTTGGAAAACTAATGAAAGCCACAGTAAAGCAACTCTGGAAAGGAAAACCCAGGGAGCAGATTGTGAGTATAACACACACTCGTGTTCACACACACAGGAGCTCCTGTACGCTGCCAGTGAAATGACAAAACAGTAAGCAATGCGTATAGCGGAACCAAGGGCAGAGACTTGCTGGAATAAAGAAACCCGGAGGGTTAAACAATGAATTAAACAAATGCAAAGACACTACAGCATCCAGAACACGATGAGCCTGCTGCACTGACAAGCAACCCTCGCAAGGTAACCCGGCCTATCCCAGTTCTAGGAAAACAAAAATGCATTCTTATTTATAGGCACATTGATGAAAACACTAATATGAGAAATGAAACCACAGCAGAGAGAAGGTGGATGGCTCATTTCTGTGCACAGAAACTCACTGGACCTCCAAGCAGTTAACAAGGCAATAAAATAAGAGATTCACCAAGAAAACAAGCTGTAATAAGACTCCATTCATACAGGTCTGAGTTGTCAAACTCTTGAAAACAGAAAGTAAATGGTGGACACAGGGGCTGAGGAACAGGGCAGTTGGGAGCGAGAGTTTCATGAGTACAGTATTTTATTACTGGGAAATGAAAAAAATCTGGAAGGTGGTGACGGCTAAATAACACTGTCAGATACTAAATGCCAAACACCACCACATGCAATAACAGCGAAAGAAGACTTTTTATTTTACATTTAAATAAAGGGTCGGGGGCTCCCTGGTGGTGCAAGGGTTAAGACACAACCTATAGAGCTGTCCGCTGCCACTGCAGCACGAGTTCAATCCCTGGCTAGGGAGCTACCCACATGGCGTGGCAGACCTCTCCTGACGCGCCCACTGCTTCCCTCAGCAGTGTATTTCAGTCAGTCTACCTGTTCTGCTCCCCATTCTGTTTCTGGTGAATACTCCCTCCGCCACACACATACCTCTGGCCTGTACCCCAGTTCTTGTATGCATAAATAAGTACATCTTTTTAAAAATGAATGAATGAATGAATGAATGGAGGGCCAGGTTTACTAGGAAAAGGAGAAAAAGAAGCTACAGTCACACTGGACAGAAGAGCAGCCACTGCTACTCCCCACAGTGCAAAGGTTTAAAATGAAACACTTGCATGGTCACAGGTGACAGGAGAGCTGCTAAAATTAGATTGTAAAATATATTCATTGTAACAATATTCTATAAACATTCTATCAAAATTAAAAAAATCTACCATTAACCGTAACTATAGCAAGAATCATAGCAAGAATCATACGTATGACTAACGTACACACACCCACTGTACTCCAGACTCGATGACAGAAATGTGAAGCTCCTTATTAAAAACTACATTTAGGATCACTGACATAAACTCCCAACAACCAAAGGTCAAATGATGAACATCTGCGCTACCTGGTTTTACTCAGCGAGTGTCTGTGTCATGACCCTTGTTCAAACGTTTCCCACTGACCGGAGTACTTTCTCCCCCTGAACTCTGAGGTGTCACCACACACTGGCCAATCGAAGGCAGAAAAGGGAGCAACCTCATCACTGAGAAAACGCATCCATCAGGTTTGGCCAAAAAAGAGAACTGTATTGTGAATGAAAGTGAAAACACACACACAGTGCACGCGCGCACACACACGCACACACACGCACACACACACACACACGGTGGTGCTGTTGTTAGCAACCATTAAGATATCAGGTAATATTGAAGAGTAACTTGCATTGGATGAAACTGAACTCTGGAATAGAGAAATCCCTTTCTGCTGGCGGGAGACCTGGGCTGAGAAGGATCTAATTCCACACGGGAGGGCACAACACAGGACGAGGTTTGCACGTTGCATGAGCGGCACCTGCCATCGGGATGACTACAGGCGCAGTCAGGTGGGAGCCGAGCCTGTGGTAGTAGGACTGGGCAGAGGCCCACGCTCAAGTGTAACTGGCAGAAATGGCAAAACACAGGTGACTGACTCACTCAGGAGAAGTGCAGACTGAAGACGGGAGACCAGATCGGAACACAGGGATTAGCTACATTCAGGAGCACAAGATACTCAAGCACTCAGGGACACGGAAAAGAAATCATCAGAGAGACCATGACAGAAGCAAACACAAAGAAATTTCATCTTCCAAAACACTGAAGACGGAGGAAAACGCACCAACACATACGACGAGGTCAACATTGTCCTGATCCCCCCCCAAAAAAAACAGCATAAAAGGGAAAAATAGACCAACAGCACCAAAGAACAGAGAAGCGAAAATCCTCAACAAATTCCAACCGACTTAATACAGCAACATGGAGTCTCCCAGGTGAATCAAGGGGTCAAGACAAAGCTCTATGATGCGATCCGCAGCCCCTGCAGCATGAGTTCGATCCCCAGTCAGGGAACTCACCCACACGGCACACCTGACCTCTCCTGTCTCATTGCCTCTCCCCTTAGTAGTGTATTTCACCAGATCTGCCTATTCTGCTTCCCACTCTGTCTCTGGTGAATCCTCTCACCCCCTTCACCTCTTGCCTGCACCCCAGTTCTTGTATGCATAAATGAATAAATCTTATTAAAAAAATGGACAAAGGAACTACATAAACTCTCCTCTAGAGAGGGAATTCTGACATCCTACAGACAATAGGAATGTTCACTTTAACTTACTGTAAAAGAAACGTAAATTGAAAGCACATTTAGATGCCACCCCTTGAGAAGGCCCAGATAAAAAACAATGGATTTACACGAAACGGGGGGGGGGGGGTGCGAATTTTATGAGGACTATAACGAAGATGAAAATGATTACACGGTGCAAAAATGAAAATTATGTAAAAATATATAAATTAATATTTAAAAAAGTGAAAAAGCAAAAAAAAAAAAAAAAAAACCACATATGGAATGAAGAACGCTGGAGAGGGCGCAGAGAAAAGGGAGCTCTCACCCACGGCTGGTGGCCATGACAGTCGGAACAGACCCTATGGATGAGGGTGCGGAGGTTACTTAAGGAAATAAAAACGGAAATTCCATGTCATCTGCAATACTTCTACACGTTATCCTCACGGGAAAACTCAAACACAAAAAGATTTATCCCACCCGGGAGCAGAGCAACTCTGTTCCCAACTGCCCAGTCATGGCCCAACCTACATCCCTTCACCAGAGGCAGGGCAGGAAAGGTGGAGCACACGCAGGGGAACACTGCAGGGCTGTGAGGAAGGAGCAAAGGGGCACACTGAGGATAAAATGGGTGGGCAAGGAGGTGATAGTCTGTTTTTTTGGGGGAAAAAAAAGATTTATTTATTCATGCATACAGGAGCTGGGGTACAGGCCAGAGGTGTGGGGGAGGGGGGTGAGAAGATTCAGCAGACAGAGCAGGGAACAGAACAGGCAGATTGACCGAAATAAACTGCCGAGGGACGCAGCAGGCCAGTCAGGTCTGCTGTGCCATGTGGGTTGCTCCCTGGCTGCCCGGTGGATGGAACTTGTGCTGCAGAGACTGCAGACAGCCCCATCGGTTGCATCTCAACCCCTTGCGCCACTCGGGAGGCCCCAGGAGGTGCTATTCTTCAATGAAATAAAACAAAAAGTAGAGACACATATCAGATGGCTTCACTCATCTGTGGAAAATAAATATCCAAAAAACATTTACAGGCAAAATACTTGAATCAAACTTGAACCGGGTCATGTGAAGGTAAAGATGACCACCAGAGGGAACAGGGGAAAGGGTGGAGAACTTAGGGAGGGAGGCAGACGGGGGATGGGCCAGGGTGGTTTGGTAGAGGGTGAACAAGGGGTAGGGCAAGACCCACTAGGAGTCTAGGAAAAAAACTGGCAACTATTTGAGCAGAAGGTTTTAGTGCTCCACATGTCAATGACAGATCGAGGAGGGAAAATAAGTAAAAGAAGAAGAAAAAAGTTTAAGAAAGTTTAAAACAATTTAAAAAATTGAAACTTCCCCAAGGTCACACACGGTGTCGGCAGGAACTTTGGGGAAGGCAAAGGCTGGAGAGTGTCACTGGACTGGGGAACAACTTAGGGTGCTGGGAAGCATCACTAGAAATGCATGCAGACCACACCAAGGAGAAATGCCCAGGAGCAGTGGAAACAACCGCCAGAAAAAAGGACTCTGAAGAGTCTACCGGGCACCTGGGGTTTGCAGACCCCTTGAGAGAAGAGCAGGCAGGTATGGAAGGACACCCCAGTGGACTCAACGTCACACATGCCAAGACTGACGCCTGCATGAAAGTCTCCGAGAGCGGCCTGGGACACACTACAGGATTTCAGCAACTGCACAGAAACCTTAAAAATTCAGTTGTCCTTTTCAAATGACATGTGGCTCCTTCACCCCCATCTGCACTCTGGTCCTCAGACCCCTCCTCCTCCTCCTCCCTCACCCCGCACCTGAGCAGCGCAGAGCTGGGAAGTGTTTCTGTCCAGCGGGGTGAAGAGCCACAGGCCACACCTTCAGCGTCATCAACGGAGACCCAGGTACAGACTCTGCGCTGCGGGAGCACCAGGGCAGAGCCCCATCTCCACGCACGCTGGACATGGGAAGGGCCTGGACCTACGCCACACCTTTCCCTGGTGAGGAATGTGTCCCTGCAGAAAACTATGTTTCTAATGTGCATGTCCGTGATGAACTCGCATAAAGTCAAGGCACCGCGAGCTGAAGCCAACACGCCACTCACCAGAGATTCGTCCATGGTCGCTGCTCTCACAGACGCGCCAGGGCTCGGGAGCGGCGCTGGGGGGCGCTGGGGTCCAGCACAGAGGACGGAGGCGGCTGCCGGGGTCCGGAGTCTCCTGGCCAGAGCCCGCCACACGCTGCCTGGAGACACCAGAGAGTCACCGCGTGTGGCAGCGGGTGGCACTTCTAGCAGGGCAGGAACGGCCCCGAGTCCACGCGCGGCAGAGCCTGGGCGGACGGTTCACCACAACTTAGTAAAAGGTGACACTGCCCACTGCCTGCGCCACGGTCACGCAGGAGCAACCGTCTCAGAGCTGAGGAGTCGCTGCAGAGTGTGGACTCCACTTCCAGCGAGACGACCTTCCCGCCCTCCGCTCCAGGACACCAACAGCGCCGAGTCCCCTGGGTGCTCTCGTGCAGGCTGGAGGAGGGAATGCAGCGGCCAGCAGGACGCCGCCTGTGGGGGAACGCGCAGCGCCCCGGAAATTCAGTCCACAAGCCTGTAACGCCCCACGAACTCCCAGCCACCCGGTCCTGCAAACCCAGTTTCCCGGGACCTCCCCGCACCCACAGGGCCGCATCCCGCTGGCAACCCGCGAGACGTCACCCGTCCCCACAGGGTCCGCGAATCCCGCCCCGGCGCATTACCCGCGCCCCCCGCCCCAAACGCAGCCTGGCTCTCCCCTCCCTCACCGCCCGACTTAAGTGGGGCCCAAAGACTCAGCGCGCATGCGCACAGGCGGACCCGCGCTTCCCCAGGCCCCCGCCTCGGGGACCCCTTCCCCCGCCCCGGGAAGGCCCCGGCAGCGTCCGGGAACACCCCGGAAAGCCGAGTCGTCCTCCCCAACGGCCGCCGCCCCCGCCCCCCGCGCGCTCCGGCGGGAATCGGCTCCAAAGCGCCCGAATCCACGCGGCCGGAGCCCCCGCTCGCCCGCGCCCCCAACCCCCCGACGCCTCCGCTCCCCCGAGACCGGCCTCCCGGGACAAACCCCGCGCTCACCTCGGGGAGCCCCAGCGCTCGCGAAGGCGCCGGAACTTCCGGACGGGAGTGGGCGGGGCCGCGACTGCGCAAATCGCGGAAGTCCCGCCAAGAAATCTCCGCTAGAACCACGGGGGCTGGAGACTACATTTCCCACAACCGCTTGCGCGACAGTCGGGCCGTCGTTGGGGCGGGGTTGCGGCCTGGAAGTGGGAGGAGTGGAGGTTGAGGAGAATGAGCAGGTGGGCGAGGCCCGTGAAAACTGCGGGGCCCATAACGGGATCAAGGCCCTGAGGGAAGAAAGCTCAACAGGGCCGCCCGGGGGCTGAAAGGGTTAAGAAACGCTCTGACTCAGAAGCTGTCCGCCCCCTCCACAGCACGGAGCTACCCCCAGGGCAAGGCAGACCTCTCCCTTCTTGCCCACTGCTCCCCTCAGCAGTGTATTTCAGTCAGTCCGCCTGTTCTGTGCCCCACTCTGTCTCTGGTGAATCCTCCCCATCACTCTCTCTCTCACACACAAACACACCCCTTTGGCCTGCACCCCAGCTCTTGTATGAATAAATTTAAAAAATATGCGTAAGAAGTCCACATATACATAAGAAGTCCACATAGAGTCATTCACAATATCTCAAGGATGGTTGATTAAAAAAAGACCCAGAAAATAACTATATGGGTCCCCAAACCATCGTCTTGAACTTTTTCTTATTTTTTGAAAGATTGGTTTTATTTATTTATGCATATAAGAGCAGACGTGTAGACCAGAAGTGTAGGGGGTGAGAGGATTCCCCAAAGACAGAGTGCAGAGAAGAACAGCAGATTGACTGAAACACACTGCTCAGGTGAGCAGCAGGTAAGTCAGGAGAGGTCTGCTGTTCCATGTGGTCAGCTCCCTGGCCAGGGACCAAATCGTGCTGCAGTAGCTGCTGACAGCTTCATAGTGCTGTGACTTAACCCTCTGCACCACCAGAAAGGCCCTCAGACTTTTCAATTATGCTAATCTTTAGTGTTTTCATGTTGGCTTATGCTCCATAACAATTTTCTGACTTAAGGAATATAAGGTGTTATTCACTTCCTACTGTATTGCAATGTCTTAATATGAATTTAAATTTCATTATAAATTACTTAATCATATTTTCACTTCTTTCTAGTTTCCACTATGAATATCTGGTGGTTTCAAAATTCTTATTTGGACAAACCACTCATCACTTTCCACTTGCGGTTTCTCTCGGTTTGCACTCTCTGATGTTTAGGATGATTTGACTTCTGGTTAATCACTTTGCCGCTTCTGGTTAAACTTCTGGACTTTTGGTTAATGACACCAAAGTTGGGGCCTCCCTGGTGGCACAAGGGGTTAACACACTGCCTATGAAGCTATCCACAGCCACTGCAGCACGATTTTGATCCCCGAGCAGGGAGCTACCCACATGGCACAGCAGACCCCTCCTGTCTCGTCTGCTGTTCCCCTCAGCAGTGTATTTCAGTCAATTCACCTGTTCTGTTCCCCACTCTGTCTCTGGTGAATTCTCTCACCCCCCCACCTCAGGCAGATACCCCAGTTCTTGAATGTATAATAAAATAAATTTTGGGAAAAAAAGAGACTAAAGTAAAAATATTGACTTCACAATTTTAACATTTCTCTCTGATGTGAATTCTCTAATGTAGAGTAACGCTTGACTTCTGGTGAAAGGCTTTGCCACATTCTTCACATTTGTAAAGTTTCTCCCCAGTATGAATTCTGTGATGTTGACTTCAATGTGATGGATGGTAGAAGGCTTTCCTACATTCTTCACATCTGGAAGGTTTCTCTACAGTATGAATTCTATGATGTCAAGTTACATTTGAATTATTATTAAAGGTTTTGCCACATACTTTACATTTGTAAGGCTTTTCCCCAGTATGAATTTTGTAATGGTCAGAAACACTTGACAGACAATTGAAGGTTTTGCCACATTCTTCACATCTGTAAGGTTTCTCCCCAGTATGAATTCTATGATGTCGAGTAAGACTTGACTAATTGTTAAAGGCTTTGCCACATCCTTCACAATTGTAAGGTTTCTCCTCGGTATGAATTCTGTGATGCTAAGATAGTTAAAGGCTGACAGTTGGTGAAAGGCTTTCCCACATTCCTCACATCTGTAAGGTTTCTCCCCAGTATGAACTCTCCGATGTCGGGAAAGGTGACACACATAGAAAGATGTTACCACAGTCAGGATGCGTGTAGGCTTTTCTCCAGCATGAATCCTTAGAAGGTTAGTCAGCTGTGGATGCCAATACAAGGCTTTACCATGCTCTTCACACTTGTGAGGTTTCTTTTTTTTTTTTATAGAGGCATGTTTTTATTTATTTATTTGTTTGTTTGTTCGTTCGTTTTGTTTATACATGCACTGGGTACAGTCAGAAGCGCGGGAGGGTGAGAGAATTCACCAGAGCCAGAGCAGGGAGCAGAGCAGGCAGAAGGACTGAAGTACACTGCTGAGGGGAGCAGCGGGCGGCAGGAGAGGTCTGCGCGCCATGTGGGACCCTCCTCCGGTGGCCGGGGAGCAGCCGGGGATCGAACCGGCGCCGCAGAGGTCGCCGGCAGCTTTGCAACCCAGCGCTCAACCGCTGCGCCACCGGGGAGGCCCACACTTGTGAGGTTTCTCTCTCTCATGTTCAGTAAGTCGTGGGCACCATTTGGTAGCTTTGCCGTATCCTTCACAATGATAGGGTTTCTCATGAAGTGCATGATGCTGGAAAAGTATTGAGGACTCCTCAATAGGATCCTGTGTAGATTTTTCATCTTCCTATCTGATTCTCTGATGTTGATAATGACATCACTGAAAGTTTAAATCTATCCCACATTGACAATGTTTTGAATAATCATTTGCATTATGGACTAGGGGACTTCCCATATGTTCCCACATTCCTCTCAGATTGTGTCTTGTTAAAAATGTCTCATGGATCTTTGCTAACAGAAACATATTTATCACTACCTGCAACAGACATAAAATGGAGTTTTACCCAACATGGTTTACACGCAGGATCATTTTGTACAGGAGGAATTGTGTTATGGATGATGGAATCTTCATTGCAACAACTGTTGTGCCCTTCCCATGTATCTTGACATGTCTGGTCTTTCAATAATTCTAAATTCTCAAAGGTGCCGATTCCATCTCCTCCCGGTTCCACATTTAGCAACAAATTTTCTGTGCCTGACTGTGGCATGGAGACCTGGTTTCCTTGAGAAGACAGAGCTGGGAGACAACCCCACTCACAGCACTCAAGACTAAATACTTTAAATATTTAAGACATAAAATTAATACCAAATAAAGACGACCGACATGACGTTAGGACAGGTAACATCAGCACTAGACAGCAACACACATGCTTATGAATAGGTAACATCCTTAGGGAAAGGAAAATATATAGCAAATACAGAAAACTGCATGATACAACCCTATAGTAAATACATGTTTCTGCTTCAGAATTTGGAAATATGGCACCAAAAAAAAATCATAGATTTATGTTAGAGAATATATATAAAATGAGATATAATTTGTGATGTCAGTAGGGGTAGATATGTTAAAGAGTGGAGTTTTGGTATGCAGCTGAAATTACATGGTTTTCACTTTAGGAAAGACTGTCATAACTTTTCAACATGGTATGGAATCCCCAAGAGAAAAAAGATACCGTAAAATACATGGAAAAGAAATGAAAACAGAGACTGATGTTATGTGTACATAGGTTGGATGACAATGCTTTACAATGTTTGTAAATAACATACAAACCAATATACCTCAATTACCATCAAAATTTGTGAAAATGGAGGGAAATCACCAACAAAAAAGGAGAGAGGAATAAAAGCATATAAGAAAAGGTCAAAAAATATACAGTGATGCAGTAGGTTGGAAATGAGGTATAAAATGGCTGAGAATAGAGGAATCATTCTTGAATAAAGTTAACGCCTCCTTTTCAGTAATACTTTGGTGTAAATGAAAGTCCACAATACGCTGACAAATGTGTCTGAATGAATTAAAAATAACACCAATTCAATCTTACCTATATGACACTCAACATAGATGTTTCATTGCACCATGTGGAATGTAAGGATGGAACTAGATTCCATGAAGACCGATCATGAAAATGGAGCCGTGTGGATCACTCTAATAACATGATCTGAGTCTAAAGCATCACAGAATGAAAGGAATGCCCCCAGAAAATAACAGAAAACTACATGTATTGGGAAGTCATTGTAATATTACCTATATACTAAGATGAGGTCCTGAATGTGTGCCGCAAACAAAGACAGAACTCAATGCAGAAGATGAAAACAATAAAATCAAGAAGAGGTTCAAGGCCTAATTGCAACTGGAAGGAAAATCATGATATAAATTCACAAACCGGAGATGACAAACAGGGGTGAAAAATAATTCTAAAAGGAAGATGTGGTATATAGACAGGTTGGAAAACTACTGAGCTATGAAAAAGGATACATCTGGCCATTTGCAACAACAACAATGGAATGTTGGGGGAGGATTAGGCTCATTGAAAAGAATCAGAAGGAGAAAGACTTACTGGATGAATTCACTCCTATTTGGACTTTGGAGAAACAAACCAAGGAAAATGACAATACAAACCAAAATAAACTCTAGAAATAGGACTGCAGAATGAAGGGTACTAAGAGGGAAGAACAGTGGGTGTGGGTACAAAAGTGGGAGGGGATTCAAAGATCTATGGAGAAGCCCACTATGCACTGGAGGTGGGTGTGGTGGTGACAGACATCTGAGGATAGGAGAATCTATTCCCTGAATCATGTAGAGCGAGGTAAACCCATGGTTCCTTGATTCCAAAAAGCTAAGAAATACTGAGAAAACATTGAAACAAAGCAAACTCCCCAAAACATGTTATTCAGAAAACAATACTAAGGGGAAAATTTAAAGCATTAAACAATTACACTAGCAATAAGAGAGATCTCAGTGGAGCAACGTAACTTCACACCTCCAGGAATTAGAAAAAGAACAATTTTAGCTCCGTATTGGCAGAAAGGAGGACATAAAATAATAACAAATACATAAATAGAACATTATAGCCAAAAAGCACGTGCTTGTCTGTGAAAGGAAGTCTGGATTTGGAAAGATCAACAAAACAGACAAAACCAAAGTTCAATTCAGTAAGAAGGAAAGGCAGAGGACTCAAGTGTCAGAGAGGAGACACCCCCAGGGAGACCAAGACGAAGATTCCAGGACAAAACAGCAGCATGTCTGCAACGCCTGAAACAGAGCTCCCCAGACATTTAGGATGCTTTCCTGTGGACCACTGCACCTGCCAGCTGCGGCCTCTGCCGGATTCATTCCACCTACCTGGGAGGAGGACGGGATCTGCACTTCTCTCCACATCCCAGGGCTCCATCTTTTGCTCCAACAAGATGACCAGCTCGGCCATAGACACAGCAAGACCTGTTTATTAGGACAGGTGATAAGAGATGGCCTGAAGAGTCTCAAATTCCCAACACAGTATTGTGTTTAGTAGAGGGGACAGTATAGAAGGTTCTGGAAAAGGATCACTGCAAATACTTTTTCTGACAGCACCTTTACCAGAAATCATTGAAATTTTCATATCCTAAGAACCATTTCTAGACCTCTGAGTCCTAGCAATGTGATAGAGAAGCTGGGATCTTGCTTGTAGCAATAACGGTTAAGTCACATATTTTCTTAAATGAGCACCCATACAGAGAGTAGGCTGCAGATCATCCTAAGACAGGAGAAATTTAAGACATGTTGAAACATGAGACTTTCCAACAAGCCCACACTGTTGTTCTTTAAAGTAGGGATCTAAAAGTATCCGACAATTCTGGGCATCCCTGCAGCACATCCACATGCGGTACAGGAAACGCTGAGGGCACATGAGGGAATGTAGAGGGTTATCCTCCTCACCCAAGGACACCACATTTCTGTAGGTCTCTCGCATCGCGTCCCTGTACAATTTCCATTGCAGCTGGTCCAGGCCCTCCTGCTCCTCATGCAAGAATTCGATGGGCACATCTCTGAAGGTCAAGGGTTCCTGAAATCAAAACATACAGTTACTACATGGCCACCAGCAGAACTCTAAATAGGACACGAGGTGAAAAGAGAGTTTTGAGGGGCCCCATGGTGGCACAAGGGGTTCAGTCTCAGCACTATGAAGTTATGACAACCACTGAAGGACAAGTTTGATCACATGGCACAGCAGACTCTCCTGTCTCGTCCACTGCTCCCCTCAGCAGTGTATTTCAGCAGATCTGCCTGTTCTGCTCCCCACTCTGTCTCTGGTGAATCATCTCACCCCCGCAAGCCCTCACCTCTGGCCCATTCCTCACCAATTTATGTATAAATAAGTAAATAAAATAAATCCTAAAAAATGGGGGAGACCTGGTACTGAGAGAAGAATGCCCTTACACAGTGAGAGCCAAGTTTACACAGGAACAGTCTAATGCACCCACTGAGCACATAGGATCACATACACCCGCGAAACCACCGTGGACGCTATAATTTTGATGACGTCAAATCTGACCCAGGGCACATATTTGTACAGCAAGGAGGCAGGACAATTGGAAAATTCGTAGTAGAGACGGAGATGAAAGACTGAAAGGAAATTGTAGGTAATGATCAAATACTAAGCAAAGCAACAACAACAAAAACAATCATATTTTTAAAGACTTTTTTATTTATGCATACAAGAACTGGGGTACAGGTCAGAGGTGCGGGGCGTCAGAGGAGTTACCAGAGAGAGAGAGAGCGGGGAGCAGAACAGGCAGACGGACTGAAATACACTGCTGAGGGGAGCAGTGGGCAAGACAGGAGAGGTCTGCCGCGCCATGTGGAAAGCCTTCTGGCCTGCTAGGGACCGAACTCATGCTGCAGAGGCTGCAGACAGCTTCACAGTGCTGTGCTTAACCTATGCACCACCAGGGAGACCCCGTTCCCACAGCTTTCATTAGCTTTATATATGAAGCAGATATTATTCTTTGAGCTTTTAATACACTTTATCTTTTATGTGACCATTTCCTCAAACACCCACAAAATTACAGACCCGGGTTTTCCCTACAGATCTGAGCTAAAATGAATCAGAGAGGACCCGACATGAATGAGCACAGCAGGTTTTGTAGCCAGCAAGAATGGTTTGGTTAAAAAAGGGAAAGTCACACGCTACATACAAAAGAATGAAGCTTGACCACTACCTCACACCATGCACAAAACCCAACTCAAAATGGATTAAAGAACTAGACATAAAACCTGAAACCATAAAATACATAGAAGGAAATGTAGGCGAAACACTCCATGACATGCACATCAAAGACATCTTTACAGACACATCACCCAGAGAAGTGATAGTGAAGGCAAAGATCAACAGCTGGGACCACATCAGGTTAGAGAGCTTCTCCACAGCAAAAAAGACAGTAACAAAAACAAAGAGAAATTCTTAAGCTATCAAACATGGGCGCCCGGCATCTGGGAGGTGGCCCACCCGAGTGTGGGCCAAACCACAAGGACTTGTCCAAATGTCTCCGTCCCTTATCAGTGGGGGAGGCGGCCCCTTAGGACCGCACCACGCCCACCCTTGTTGCTGGGCTCCCCACTGCCCCCCAGGGCTGACCCCCATGCTCCGTCCTTTCTCTGGGTTGAAGATGTCCTTGCAGAGGGGCAGAGGCCAGGTTGACGGGTCAGTCAGTGTTCCTGGGTCTCCCCAGGTGAGCGAGGAGGCGTCCGTGTTTCCTCAAGTGCATTTTCTCCCACGGATGCCCTGGGCTCCGGGAAGGTCTCCATGGAGAGCCTGCAGGGTGGATGAGGTGACGTGTCCTCCTCCCAGGATCCCCACGCAGACCTGGAGGAGTTTACAGACGGGGAGACAGGGGGTGCCTCAGGGCAAACTGGACGGGAAGGGTTGACCCAGGTGGGGAGTCCTCAGTGCGTGCTGGGGAATCCAGGGCGGGGCCCCCCAAGGAGCAGAGAGAAAAGGGACCTTAAAGGATTACCCCAGGGGCAGAGGAGGGAAAGCCCGGGGAGACGAGGAAAGGGAAGTCGCATGGCAGTGGCAGGCGGCAGTGCCAGGGGTAGACCCGGAGGAACCCTGAGACCCCAAACTCTGTGCACCCTCCACCGGCACTGCAATCTGCTGCGTGCGGAGCAAACACCCCCTCACGTGAAAGCCCTGCCGTGGAAAACAACAGGGTTGGGGTGCAAGGGGAGGAGAAAAGACAGGGTTATTAGACAGTTTCCAAGGAACCAAAGCCTCCCGGGCCTGTGGGCCTATCCCCGCGGCAGGGGTGCTGGGGGCTGGGGAGACGTATCGGGCGCTGGGGGGCTGGGGACACCAGCAGGCGCTGGGGGCCTGGGGAGACGCAGCAGGCGCCCGGGGGCAGGGGATCCACAGCGGGCGCTGGGGGCCTGGGGAGACACAGTAGGTGCCTGGGCTTGACCGCGGGCGGGGCGCCCTGGCCGCCACCCCCAGACCCTGCACCCCGGCTCTGCCGTCTGCGGGCGGGAGCTGTTCTGGGCATGATGGGTGTCCCTGGGCTCGCCCCCAGCCTGGCGTGGCGGCCTCACTCCCCGTCCAGTCATGACGCACAGGTGTCACCAAACATGCTCAAACCCTCGGCCCATCTAAATGAAGGGGTGTCCCTCACCAGGTGGGGTGCCGCGCACTCCCACGGGGTCCCACAGGACAGCGCGCAAGCCAAGCGCAGGGGCTGACCTGATGTGAGAGCTGCCTGCGGCCGCGGCCCTCCTGACCAGAGACCCCACGTGAGCTCAGGGACCAGACCCCGCGCTGCCCTTCCAGAGGGACCGGGACAGGCCCAGGCGTCCTGCTCAGCACTGAGAACATAGACACGCTCCCGTCTGGACCGGAAAGTAGAACTCAGACAGATTATCAATAAGCCATGGGGGTGCTCGGCCTCCAGGCACTGCCGGGGGTGGCCAAGGAAACGTGGCCGTGCTCCCCAGCTGTGCTCCCAGCTGTGCCCGTGACTCCAGGTCCCCAAGGACAAGTGGCCTAAAGACTTGACTTCTTCGTGGCGATGTGGGATTCAGCTTATTCTGTCCAGTAATAATATCTGATGCAACTGCCACAGGACCCAGCCACCCACTCCCAGGACACAGAAACACGGGTCTGAAGGAAAACCGTGCCCCGATTTTCGCGCGGCACCACAAACAAGAGCCTAGTTCTGGAAACTGCCTAAGTGCCCCCAAGGGGAGGAACGGTCAAAATGGGGACTCTCTGCACCACGGAATACTACTCAGCCATGAAAAAGGATAGACCCATGCCACTCATGGCCACATGGAAGGAACTGGAAGGGACGGTGCTCGCTGAGATCCTCAGAAGGAAATACACATACAGGTGGAAAGTCGGGAAACTGAAGGAAGGGTCAGGGAAAGACAAAACCTGGAGGCACCCACAGGTCTGAAGCACACGGCAGTAGAGAGGGAGGGGTCAGATCCGGGAGGGAAGTCACAGGGGATTGGGCTGACGTCCTCAGGTGCTGGTGGGGGAGAATGAAGGGGACTAGGCCCGAGGGGAGAAGTCAACGAGTCTACAGACATGAACGACGTCAGAAAATAAAAATGAATAAAGAACAAAGGCGACAGAGAGGCTCGATGGCATCAGTAGCCTGTGATGAAGAACCTGAGAAACTGACTGCAAAATAGGAAAGAGAACAGCGGAGGGAAGGGAGAACGTGAGAAACGAGCATGTGCGGGAGTCTGCGGCCCCCCGGGGGCGTGATCGAAGAGCAGTTCAGCTCCCACTGTCCTCAGCTCCCCTTGGGCCGGGGCAGCGACGACAGCCGCGCCCCAAATGCCATTGTCGGCAGGTGCGGCCGCCCCGGGTGTCTGGTCTCCTGGTGTCCGGGGAGCCCAGGGAGAGGTTCCGAGGGGGAGCCCAGACCCACGTCCTGACGAGAGGCGACGGGGACACAGTGGCCCCCTAGCTCCGAGGCTCCCGGACCCAGCCTCGGGAATCCGGCCCCGGTCACATGGGCTGCAGTGGCCAGGGAGGAAGGCCAGGAGGACGGGACGGGGTCACAGTCCCGTGACCCCCACAGTGATGACCCCGGCTTTGGGCAGCGCCTGCCGCATCCTCTCTGCAAGTCCCCCCTTGGGGGCTGTGGGGGGAGTGGACACCCCTGACCTGCCCTCAGGCTCCTGAGTTTTCGGGGACTTGCTGTCGGGGTCTCCGCTGCCTCGGTTGTCTGTTCTGGAACGGACCTGCCCCAACAAGGGGCCTGAGCCACAAGGGGTCTCTGTCGCCCCCCACCCCTGCCTCTTTCGGTCCTGCAGACGCTGCAGAGTGATGCCCAGACCCACTGCGGGGACATCCCAGGGGCAAACACCTGCCCAAGAGGGCGGCTTCTGCACGGGAGAATCCAGCTCGCCAGGGAGGTCCACGGGAATGTGGAAGGGGAGACCCCAGCAGGCGGCACCTCCGTACACCCCTCTACCTGCAAGGAAGCAGAACAGATGCCCCCCCCATGCCGCTGTGGCCCATGATTCAGTGCAGGACAGGCCCTTGAGAAAAAGCTGGGTCAAGACCACCAACCCCCACCCCCCTGAAAGCAGGAGCTGAATCTCCCCTGCCCGGGGCTGCCCCAGGGAGAGCGGAGCTCACAGGGGTCTGCGGGTCCGTCTCCCCTACCCGGGGCTGGCGCCCCCGACCTTCCCCGACTGCTGTCCCCCGAGAGCCTGCCCTGTCCCAAGGGCAGCGCCCCCTGGGGTCCGAGGACCCGACCCGGAGTCTGCTCGGCTCTCCCTGGAGCAGAGATGTGTGCGGGGACGGGACACCTGACGCCCCCACTATTCGAAATGCCTTCCCGGTTCGTGGGCATCACAGGGCTGGGTGGAGGCTCCTCTGCACTTACCCAGCAATTTCTCTCCCACAAGGTTTTCCTCTAATGCCACGAAGAGCAGCACGTGGAGCCCCCGCGCATCTTCTGGCCAAGACAGAGAGAAGCTGTTTAAACAACGAGGGGAAGGATGGACATTTTCCCAGGTAACAGAAGTCACCGAACAGATCTGAAGACCCGCTGCTCCTCCCCACTGAACGAAGGTTTCCCCGGAGGCCTGGCTGCTGCCTGCGCGGTGGGTGAACTGCAGCGCGCCCTGGGCGAAGCATCACCGGGTGGGTGGGGCTCAAAGGGCAGACTGAACTTTCAGGGCGACCTTCCTGCCCCCAGGGCTCTGATGGAAACTGTTTTAGGGCCACAGATCTTGGAAACAGCGAGAAGGATGGGACCAAGGCCAAAGTCGGAAAATGTCTTTCAAAATCTTTTTTTTTCTTTCAAAATCTTTTTATGGGGCCTCCCTGGTGGCGCAGGCGGTTGAGGGCCGCACCGTGAAGCAATCCGCAGCCTCTGCAGCACGGGTTCAATCCCTGCCGGTCAGGGAGCAACCCACATGGTGAGGCAGACCTCTCCTGTCTCGCCCGCTGCTCCCCTCAGCAGCGTATTTCAGCCAGTCTGCTGTTCTGTTCCCCACACTCTCTGGTGGATCCTCTCACCCCCCGCATCTCTGCCCTGTACCCCAGCTCTGGTACGCATAAATAAATCTTTAAAAAATTCAATTTATGGCGCCTCCCTTGTGGCGCAAGGGGTTGGGACAGAGGCTATGGGGCTATCCATGGCCACTGCAGCACGGGGTTGCATCCCCAGCCAGGGAGATACCCATGTTCACAGCAGACCTCTCCTGTCTTCCTGCTGCTCCCCTCAGCAGTGGATTTCAGTCAGTCTGCCTGTTCTGCTCCCCCCTGTCTCCGGTGTATCCTCTCACCCTCCCACGATCTGGCCTGTACCCCGGTTCTTGTATTACAATAAATCTTGAATAAATAAATAAATGAATAAATAAATAAATAAAAAGGTGGACTGCGGTCCTCACTCTAACTTGACTTGAAAGCTCACCCAACTTTCCTGAGAGTCTGACGAGCCTCCCAGTGATCAGGCGTACAACACTGTCCCTAACTAAACTAAGAAGCCAGTAGTTTCCACTGGCCTTGGGACTCTGCACACACAGCAAGCCAACCCTCCTGCTGAGTGCCTGGCTTTGTGCCTTACTCCAGCATTTCAGGGCTCCCCGGGTGGGTGTTGCCCTAAATAGGGACACAGGGGATTTAGAACAGCTCCTCTGCGAGGAACAAATATCCCACCGACATTCTTTTCAGTCTAAGGGCACTCGAAAAATGGGCTGCGTCCCTGGTGCAATGTGCTCTCATGCCCCAACCCCAACACTTGCTATTCTACTACTGCTCGGCTTGTGACTAAGCCTACACTCAGCGGCTGGCCCCAATGACTTTGCTCCAGGGCAGGGAGAGGGGCAGCCTCTCCTGCAACCCTGCCGGGTCTAAATAGGTTCTGCCATCCGCCATGTCAACACAAAACATGTGAGACTTTAATGGGAAGGAACTTTAATACAACTAGGAAACAACACAGGAAAGGCAAAGAATACAGCTTCTAAATCAACCACCCAAAGTGACCCGTCCCCTCAGGGGTAAAAGTCCATCCAAATGGGATTGGCCCAGAGCAAGGCCCCAAGCCTGCCACAGTCTAAAGCACCTTCCAGTGGGGACCCACAGAAAAGGGACAGAAACAGCCAGACAGGTCTGGTAGGGAAAGAGCAAAATCAAGACAAAAACCGCATTGTCCCCTCCCCACGGGTCTCACCCATATCTGTGTCACCCCGTCCACCAACAAAAGGCAGGAGCAGTTTCTTCACGTTTCTCTCTGCTCCATGGGCCTCCCCCAGGTCTCCTTCTGGCTCCATCCTGCTTCCTTCCTTTCTCCGTCTCCTCTGCAGCTTCTCCTCTCCCTGCTCAGCTCCACCCTCCCTTGGGTGGGGCAGGGAACCTGGAACCTCCCCTTTCCTGGGGACCCCCTGTTACAACTTCACCTGTGACCGAGGGCCCTTAGCCGCTGCTGTACTTCTCATTCTCCTCTTCAAATCTTAACATACACAATCTCCTACTCAAATTTGTTTCTTCTAAGCGAGGGGGAGCGCCTCAAGGTTAAACTCCTCCTCCCAACAAACAGCTCACCCCTCCAAGGGGAACGGCCTGTCCAGATGCCCCCCCTCACCTCCTTCCAGAACCACCAACAGGCAGCTCAGGGACGAGTGTCAGGGAGACCCTCTCCCGGGCCCTTGGAGGCAGGGCCAGCTCTACATGCCACTCCAGCAGGGAGCAGCTCCTGAAAATGGACCTCCTCCCTTCAACTCCCCAAGAGATTTTGGGCTGGATATGGTCGGGGGGGGGGGGGGGGGAGATGGAGGACAAGAAAGGAAAGACTGGAAAGGACGTGCCCCAAGGCCAAAACCTGACTCACACTAGGAGGTGGGGGTCGAGCACATGCACAGGACCCTTAACCAGCTTTGGAGGTCGGACCCTCAGGCGCCAGCGCCTTGTCAGGAGGCAGGAAGGGAGCAGGGTCCCTGCTCTAGGGAGTGGGGCACAGGCCTGAGGGGAAGGATGTGGAGACGGGCCCACCCCGGAATCTCTGGTCCCTTTCTAGCGCTGCCTGTTGCCCAACATCCGCAGCAAGCAGCCGCTCCCGGAGGAGCGCGCCTCCCAAGGAGAAAGGGGCTGTGGCAGGGCAGGCTCCGCACAGGCCCGGGGCAGCCGCCCCCCTGCCCGCCCCGGACCACGCAGGAGCCTCTTCTCACCAGCTCTCGCCTCTGCGGGGCCGCAGCCTCCTGGCGGGTGGCTGGTACCTGCCAGGACGTCTCCAGGGACCTCCCTCAGCGGAGGCCGCTCTCCTCAGGGCCGCCACCTGCAACCGCGCAGGCCTCGCTCAGCAAACCTGCCCCTTCCCTTCCCCGGAGAAACCTGCCCTGTAAACACAACTAACGTCTCCGTCTCGTGGAGGAGCGACCTGGGGAACTCCCGGGGGCTGCTGAAACAGGGTCTGGGGAAACATTTCCCAGAGTGAACCCCAGGACCTCGCACTCCAAAAACCCCATCACCCCCACCCGATTCCCCGAGACCCACGGGAAAATCCCGCAGTTCTGGAAGGACACTAGGGAAGATCTCTGGCGCCACCTAGTGCCCAGAACAAAATCACCACCTTCCTAATAGTGGGAAGCCAGGGATCCCAAAACCACCTTCAGGCCCTGAGAGGGGCTGGGCCGCGCCTACGGGGTAAGAAGGGAAACCAGGCGTGGAGCAAGACCCCATCCTGGAGCGGAGAGCCAGACGCTGGACCAGGGGTGTGGACGCGCCTTAGCAGCGGGCACTGCACAGGATGACAGCCAGCGTTTTGGACCTGACAGCCCTGGAACTGAGACCTAGAGCGCAGCATTCGGGGGCGGGATCCACACAGCTGCGGGCACAGCGCCGGGTGAACGCGCGGCAGACACAGCACCCGGCTTGAACGACAGCCCCTGTGTGGAGGCACCCCCCCCTTTTCTCAGAGAACCACTGGGGAAAAGCACAGGTCAGCAAGTGCAGGTCTCTGGCGCCACCCGGTGACCAGAACAAAGCCACCAAGGAGCTGATTCCCTGCTGGAACTGAGTGAACCCAGAGAGTGGGAACCACCAGGGGCAGAGCCCAGCAACAGGGCAACAGCGCCCTGGTGGCGTTTTGGCTCGCGGTGCTGGACTCGGTCCGGTGAACAGATGTCAGCAGGTTGACTCTGTGTTGGACTCTCCAGGCCAACGATATGGAACTTAAGCATCTGTGGACTTCTGCTATCTGCTGGGGGTGTGGGGGTGTCATTCCTAAATCCAACTCCCCCAGGTACCAAGGCAAGGGGTGACTATAAACTTTCTGGGGGCTCAAAAGTCATACATGGATTTTCCACCACCGGGGATCAGCGCCCCAACCCCATGTTGCTTAAGGGTCAACTGTATCAGCAAAAGCAATCATAAGAGCTAAAAAATACATGTGGTTCTGCTGGCAGGACAATCCAGACACTGCTACTGTTAGGGGAATCGAGAGCCCAGTACAGAGGAAAGGAGACAAATGACACCACAGAGCAGAGCCTCAGGCGAAGATAGGAGGGAATATAGACAGAGTAGAAGGAATCTAGAGCCAAGTGCAGGAAAGGAGACACATGATAGTTCATGGAGAAAGTTCAGATGCAGAATAGGGGTGCCCGGGGGCTCCACTAGATCCAGAGAAGCCCATTAGAATAACCCCCTCAGAGATACAAGGAACATACCTCAACATCATAAAGGCCATCTATGACAAGCCAACAGCCAGCATCATTCTCAATGGTGAAAAGCTGAAAGCAATTCCATTAAGATCTGGAACAAGACAAGGATGTCCACTCTCACCACTGCTTTTCAATATAATACTGGAAGTCCTAGCCAGGGCAATAAGACAAGAGAAAGACATCCAAGGAATCCAAATAGGAAAAGAAGAAGTCAAACTATCACTATTTGCAGACGATATGATATTATACATAGAGAACCCCAAAAACTCCACAGAAAAGCTAATTCAACTCATCAATCAGTTCAGTAAAGTGGCAGGATACAAAATCAACATGCAAAAGTCAGTAGCCTTCCTATACACAAACAATAAATCTGAAGAAGAAGAAATCAAAAAAACCATCCCTTTTGTTATTGAAACAAAAAAAATCAAATATTTGGGAATAAATCTAACAAAAGAGATAAAGGACCTATACAAAGAAAACTATAAAACACTGTTAAAAGAAATAGAAGAAGACACAAAGAAATGGAGAGACATCCCCTGCTCGTGGATTGGAAGAATAAACATTATTAAAATGGCCATCCTTCCAAAAGCAATATACAGATTCAATGCTATTCCAATCAAAATTTCAATGTCATTCTTCAAAGAAATAGAACAATTATTGATGAAATTCATATGGAATCACAAAAAACCCCGAATAGCCAAAGCTCTCCTGAAAAAAAAAGAAGGGAATGGAGGCATTACACTCCCAGACTTCAAACTAT